ACGGTTAGTAGCCTTATATAGTAGTCGGATACTTATAACCCTTATTACTACTAGTATACTACTTCAAAGTCGTAGTTCTAGGCTTAATATATCGAGTATAATACGTAGAAGTCGTCGTAGTATTTTTGTTAATTTATTAAAAATACTTTTAGGCAAGTGAAACGCTTTACAGCCCTATATAGTAGTAGGACACTTATAACCCTTATTACTACTAGTATAATACGTGTATGTTGCAACTATAGGCCTAATATATCTAGTACAATCCGTAGAAGCCGTCCTAGTATTTTTGTTTATTTATTAAAAATACTTCTAGGCAAGTGTACCGCTTAGCAGGCCGAGTATAACGCTTAGCTACCCTATATAGGAGTAGGACCCTTATAACCCTTTTTACTACTAGTATACTACTTCTAAGTCGTAGTTCTAGGCCTAATATATAGAGTATAATACGTAGAAGTCGTCCTAGTATTTTTATTAATTTATTAAAAATACTTCTAGGCAAGTGTAACGCTTAGCAGCCCGAGTGTAACGCTTAGCTACCCTATATAGTGGTAGGTTACTTATAACCCTTATTAGGACTAGTATACTACTTATAAGTCGTAGTTCTAGGCCTAATATATCGAGTATAATACGTAGAAGTCGGCCTAGTATTTTTATTAATTTATTAAATATACTTCTAGGCAAGTGTAACACTTAGCAGCCCGAGTGTAACGCTTAGCTACCCTATATAGTAGTAGGACCCCCCTACCCCCTATTACTACTAGTATACTACTTCTAAGTCGTAGTTCTAGGCCTAATATATCGAGTATAATACGTAGAAATCGTCCTAGTATTTTTATTAATTTATTAAAAATACTTATAGGCAAGTGTAACGCTTAGCAGCCCTAGTCCGAGAAACCCGAAAACAAATAATAGCGACGACGACATAGCGAGGCCCTATTAAGAACTAGACTATTCTAGCCGTCGTTTAGGACCTATAACCCTTCTAGAACTATACTGATTACTTAAATTTAGTAACGTTTTATACTAGCCTTAAGCCCGATTTTCACTAGTAGAGTAAGTTTCTATAAAAGATCAGGGTATAATAGCCCTAATACTAGACTATATTACCCTAATTAAATCGAACCCTAACCCTATACTAGCTATTTAGCCGCTAAAATATCGTAGACAGTTAGTAGAAATTTGCTACGATTTATTTACTTACTTAGATATTTTATTCTAGTTGCCTTGAATTTTTAGCTAATTTTTATTAGTACTTGGGACTAAAAATATGATTACTACTATTTTATACTACTTATTCGATAGCTAGACCGTTAGAATAAATCTATAGTACTCGATATAATTTATTTACCTACTTAGAGATTTAATGAAAATTCCTTTGAATTTCTACCTAATTTTTATAAGACCCTACACTTAGAACCCTCATTATTACTAGTAGAATACTTCTAAGTCGTAGTTCTAGGCCTAATATATCGAGTATAATACGTAGAAGTCGTCCTAGTATTTTTATTAATT